CCAGTAACTGAGTGCCTTATTCCACCTCCTCAGATCTTTGTCTTAAACACATGTCCCTTTCCCCGCATCATTACAGATCAGTTTCTAGCATCTTCCCATGTTTCTATGATTGCTGCAGTGGCTAAACTCAGTTGCCTTCCAAACTCTTAATGCTAGCATGCTAACAATTCTACATTGGTCTTTTTTTAATCAGATCATGCTGCAGTGGAATCCCAGGAGTTGGAAGGGGGAGTGAGCCAAGAATCCCATCCAATGAGAAAATAGGCCACACCTCCAAGCATAATGCACTAAGATGCTGGCATTCCTAATCCAGAATTCCTTGCCTTGAAATGGTATTGCCCTGCACCAGGATAAATCAGAATTGCTTGCAGTTACTAGCTCTTGTTATGACATTATGTGCTCATGGAGGGTTATCTCACCTAACTACCAAAACTGCACCTTCAACTGGAAAACCTTGTGTTGTTCAAGGGCATAAAAACCCAGAGCAATTGCTCATAGCCAAATAAACTGTTCCTTACACACTAATGTAGTTTATAGCTCCAAAGTGGTTGGGTGAGAGTGGGGATGAATCAGATGGAAGTGTTGCAATGGCAAGATTGTGAACTGAGACTGAACTTCTCAGGGAGGGAGGGAAAGGGTGGTTCACTCAAAAAACAACTCTCACCTCCAGAGGAAAGTAGTTTCCAAAGAAAAGAGTTGTGTTGTTGCAAAGGCTTCTGTGGCATAGAGGCAAAACAACACAACAATATTCTTTTTGTACTTGGTTGCAAGGGGGAGTTGAATCTTTCATTTTCATGGTCAGAAATATCTAAGGATAGATAGAGAACATGACCTTGTCCTTGCCTCTACATCACTTCCAGAGTTTATCTATCTGTGACCAGGGAAAATGATTAGCTTTTAAAAGGAAAATCACCTTTTACAACAATACCACCACTATGTGAGATCCAGCATTGTGTTTGCCTTGACCTAGCCAGGTTTGTACAGTAATCAATCTCATCGCATTCATGGTGTTCTTCCTCTGCCTCCAAGTCTCAGAAGTAGGCCTCCTGGGACAGGTTTTTCTTCCCCACTCAACAGAACTTTTAAAAGTCTGTTGAGAGTGGAAAAGTGGGTAGGAGACGCTTGTAAATATTTAGCCCAGAAAGCAAGGATTACCTAGGAAACAGCCCCTTACTGATGATTCCTTCAAGGCTAAATTAACATTTTTATACCATACAAATCACTGCTATCTTGCTCTAAGGGGAAGGGAGGGGAAACATTTCATAAATGACATTTACCATCATGAAAAACAGAAACAGAAATATGGGAATCACTGAAGCATTAGAACTATGCATTTCTTTATTTAGCAAACCGAATTAATTAAAAATTAACACTTTTAATTAGCAAAGGTATACAGCTCCTATTGCCCAGTAGAATACTGGGAATTCATTAATACAGCAAGAGTGTCCTCGAGCATGTAGAGAGTTGGTTTTCCTAACAACTGAAATATTATAAATAGATTTCATAATCTGGAATTAAAAGCTATGGTTCTTAAATTTCTCTCTTTGTCAGACTCGTGACTGACACGTAATACATAGGAGAAATAGCAAAACTAAGAACCAGTAGGTTTCTTGTGAGCACAAAGAGAAATTAAATGTGCAAAAAAGCATTCAAGGAAACCACGCATACACTGTGCCCCTAAAACATTTGGGTTGTAAATTTAAAAACTACAGCTTTATTCAGAATCCCTTTGAGGAGCATGGAATGGAAAAGTACTGTGCCTGTGATTCTTGCAGGACAGCAAGGATTAACTCCTTGCCTAGCTTTAACCTGTAGTTAACCTTTCCCAATTAACCTATAGTCAACCTTAGTGGCCCTTCTAAGGGCAAGGATGTATTCACCCATAGCTTACCCTTCTAGGTTAGCCTGTATCTAACCTGGGTAACCTATTAAATGTATTCACCTGTAGTTCACATCTCTTGAGAAAACAAAGAATATGGTGATGGGTCCACAGCACAGAAGAGATCAAAGGGAAATCCCAGTTGAGGTGATGAAGGACTTGTTGAACAATCATTAATCTCTAAATGTTAGATCTCCTGGAAGCAAAATGTATAAAAACCCTGATTTCTTTGGGTTCAGAGAGCCTCTTTTCATAGAGGTGTCCCCTTTACTGCTGCACATCAGTAAAGGAGTTTTGGACTAAAGGGTTTCTCGTGTCCGGCGAAGTTATTGGCAGTCATCTCCGGGCAAGAACCCTGTTTTGGGTCCAACACCTTTGAAAATTTTAAGGCTGTGTTGCCAACAGAAGACAGGAATAAGTGTCTGAAGTTTCAGCATCTGTGAATGCAGCAAAAGGTATTATGGGGCAGTGCGTGTAGAAGAAATCTTATGCCAGCTCCAACTATTTTAAAGATTATGGGAATAGTAGTCCAGCACATCTGGAGTGCCTCAGACTGGGGAGGGCTGTCTGTTGGCAATGTTTGATACAATACTCTTTGAAACTCTTATTTAAAAGTTTTCTCCAGATACTTCTTATGATTGTTACATGTGCAGAGCTAACAAGATAGACGTTCCCATCCATATCAGGCCCTCTTATCAAGTAGGCTTTGGAAAAAGCTCCAGGAGACTTTAAATTTTACAGGCCAGCAGAAAAGCAAAGCCTCTTCATTCCTCTCTACTGGGCTGGGAGCAGAAGGGGAGGGAAATGTTCTCAAATGTTTACATTGGCTTTGTTTAATTTGTAGACAGAAGGGAGAGCTACGGATCAAGAACACACTTTGGGCTGGAATTCTACAGGCGGCAACTGCCTGCCAACTCGCTACACCCTGTCTTTTTTTCTGATTAGGGACTAGGCCAAAACTCAAAGCTTTCCCTGCATTCCAGATATTCAGGTTGGCTTTGAGCCAATTCTGAAACCCTTGTTTTGAAAATTCGAGAGAAATGCAGTCTTTCTTTCCTTGCCACAGAAGACGTGTCTCAATTTTTCTGAGTGTATAGATCAGGTTACCATGGTGATAAAAAACCAAATTGTCTAGAGGTATCTCTACAATCAAAGTGAACACATGGACAACAAAAGGACCCTTGACATTCAGTGTTAAAAACAGAGCAGATTTCCCCAAATCTGATAGCCCCCAGATATGTTGGGGCTACAAACCCTTAACCATCTGTGGGGGACAGGGGACATCATGTGTGTTGGGACATCATTGTGCAAATGATATGAAGCATACAATTTGCATGATGATATCATGATGCACAAGACATTATTATGGTTTTCTCCAGATGCCTATGACAATTACAATTGCTAAGTTTGAAGATATAGCCCAAAATATCTGGCGGAGACAGAAAGGGGACAACAGTTTAAAGCAGGGTCAGCAAGGATCACAAGCTTCCTTGAGCACCACAGTGAAAGTAGTGATGAAGCAGTGCATATGACTAAATCCAATAACTGAACAAAGCATGATTTTCCTCTTGTTTTTTCTTGGGATTTTGAGGTTTTATGCATTTTTCTTTTCCACATTTCCTGTCTTAAAAGAACAGAAACCATGGATTTTCAGTAATTACGGCTGGAATGGATCCCAGTGATAGAATGTGGGTTTGACTCAGAGAAGGAGGAAGGGAATGCCCAGCTGTTACAGAAAAGAGATTTGAGTCCTGGGAAAGTAGAAAGTGTGAGAAGGAAGCTCAGCGCAACTCCACCTTGATTGCATTAGGTATCTGTTGAAGCAGGGAGTAGCTTTGACAGGCTTTCAATATTCTGTTATGATACCTTAAACCTCAATACATTTCAAGACTCCTGGTGACCCCAGTTTCCTAAACTTGCCTGCCTTGAAGGGCTAACATCTCCAGAGATGACAAAAAATAGGGGTCAGCAGCTACACAGCAGTCCCTGAACCTCAGTTCTTCTGCATGAGGAAAGACAGGAATAAAAGAAGAAAAGGAAAGGACAGAAAACGATATCTAAGCCATGGTATCTTGATCTTAGGTCACTATAAAGAAAGGATTTGATAACTTTATAGAAGCTATATCTAGTCTAAGAGCTAAATTAAACTTCAAGCTGGAAGCATGGATTAGCTGGGCCTTTGATAATCTGCTTTTCAAGTTTTTCGAAACTATCTTGTTGATCACAGAATGATAGGTTCCATCAACCTTTGCTCTAATCCTGCAGAGCTATTCTTATATTCGATACAAATATGTATGCTTCACATGAAGCTTAATATGGACAACAGTCTAGTTCAGACTTTGCCACCTTGGGTCCCCTAATGTTACTACAGCCAGCTCCATCATCCATAAATGCTAACCATGATGACTGAGGATATGGGAATGGTTGCCCTCACACTTAGGTTGTGGACAAATTGTGATTGTTTTTCCCCCACTTCCACATCTCCAGCTTGCCTTCTGAGGAAACAGATGTGATGTCAATTATTGACATCCAGGGGCATCTGCAGCAATGGATTCAAAATGGTGGGTGCAACTAGGAGATCAAGACCCTGCCCTTTTTTAACATGCATTGCACACATTGCACAGGTGAGGCTTCTGTCATCTGGTCACACTTGCCATTTTTAAGCCAGTAACCACCACTGCAGATGCCCCATGTATGCCTACTATTGAATGATTGATTGATTGATTGATTGATATGATATATTCACAATCTCAATCCACAAGTCTGGGAAGTCCCTCTCTATAACAACTATTTTATTAAAGCACTCATGTTCTCCAAATTCTAAAAATGACTACCAGCCCCCAAAGTATAACAATCCTAGGACAATGACCATCACGCACGATATGATTGCTCAGATTTTTGCACAATTTTTATGGTATAACATAGGATGAGTTTAAGCTGGCCTCCTACAAGATCCATTTGTATGTACACTCTACAGGGCAGCTCTTCCTATAATGCTATTTTGGTAAAACTTAAAATTTTCTTTTTTATGCCTAGTTCCTGAAGTTGGGCTGGTTTAAGACTATCTTCCATTTACAATTACAAAGAGTGATAAAGATTTCAAAATAACTCAGTCACTTACTAGCCCACTGCAAGTACTGATCGCTGCCTTCCCATTCCTGGAATCAGAATCCATGACCGTCCCAAGAAGGTGACATGACTTGTCTACACTTGGTATAACCTTAGCACCAAGATAGTTGCCGTAGTGCTTTTCCAGAACATAATTATTGGACAGTAATTCTTGGTGAAGAGTTAAGTTGAAGAAGAGATCCTTCTTTTTGTGCCTAATTTTATAATATACTTTACTGTCCCTTCTCCTGAAGTCTCTTTTTCCTCTGAAGTTTGAAGCATGCTGATGTAAATGGTAGGAGAGAAAATGTCCATCTGCATCAATTCTTTCTGGGCTAACCACTTGGTAGTCTTGCAATGTTTTAACAAATTGATCTAGGGAAGAAAAAGAGTCCAAACTTAGCTTTTTTTTAAATCATCACAATTAACATTAGAGTTCATTACATTTACAGTATATAACATTATTCCATTATTCCCATACCAAATTCAAACCATTGAAGCTTATTTGAGACATTGGGTTTATATCCTGCTTGGAATATATCCATTGAAATAAATGGCCCTTAAATTAATTAAGATCTGATTTCAGTAGGTCTACAGTAAGTAAAATCTTTCCTTTAATGCTCCTAAGAAGAGCCACGTGGAGCTTCCTAAGGGAGATCATTGAAGTGTGAAGCAAAATTGTTGTTGCTTTTAAATGTCCAACACTTTCAGAAACTCTTAATTTATTATGGTTTTAATCAACATTATCATAATGATTAGCTTTTGATGCTTTAGTTTTAGCATTGCTTCTTCGTTTCTCTGGAATTTATCCTTTAGAGATATTTCACTCATTAAGCTCAGCTAGCCTCATCTTGGTGTCCTCCAGATAATATTTGGGCTACAGCTTCCAGAATTTCTAGCCAACATATCTGAAGGACAAACCCAGCTTTGTGATAGCATATGTATTTTATTTTCTACTTTAATGATTTTTGAAGAACAATGTAAATAACATATATATTTACTAGAAGAAATATATAAACAAAATACTCTCATGATGACCCCATGAGGTTCAGCTTGTCCCCATCAACACATTTTGTTGTGATGAATTCCATCTGAAATTATTCTTTGCATACATTTAATCTTGTGTGTCTTTATCTTTTATGTAGTTGATGCTATGTTTTTAGCAAGTGGTAGTTACCTAGTTGACCTTGGATGATCTCAGTAAGCTAGTCAGGATCCTATTTTATTAATATTTCAGTGAGAGACTACTGTGAAATCCCAGAACTAGACTGAGAAGTAAAAACAAATATTTCAGAAAAGGGCAGTGCCTTATTGTTGTCCATAAAATCACCAGGGGTTGAGTTCAGCTCAAAGATGAATAGTTGATGCTAATCAAAGCAATGTCAATCAGTCAGCACGCCCCCCCTTTTTTTTTAACTGAGATATTTTTAAATCATCTTTGAGAACTGACTATCCAAACTAGAAGAAATGGAAGGAGGAACCTCTCCTTCCACCTTCTTTCTTACGTCTAGTTCAACTTTCAAATAAATGTTAAAATCAGCCATGAGGGATATACCAAGTCCTCAATCTGTATGATTATAACTCTTCTGAAGCTAGCAACAAGGAAGCTACATATATTAATAGCAGATAATGAACTGATCCAATCTGTGTATATGTTTGTATTAGGCATATGTGTGAGTATATTTAGATATATAGATACATAGATATGCTTTCCTGCTCCCTCCTTAGGAATATTTTGAGTATCATTCTCTTATCTGATACCTTCCAGTTGCAAGTGCTGGCCCCACAGCTTAAAGGTCCAGATGTTGGTAATAATGGTGACCTCCAGTCTTCTAGGTATAGCCCAGAAGTTAATGCAACCTTTCAACTATGTTGGGACTGCAACTGTCAACATTCCCAGCCAGTAACATGCCACCCTACTTGGGAATTCTGGCAACTGCAGTCCCAACCCATCTGAAAGGCAGCAGGTTGGCAAAAGTTGGAGTAAGCTAGATACCAGTTAGCTCCTACAAATAGATCTACATCTAAATCCTACAAGCTGATGCATTCTGAGGCAACTGAATTCGCTGAACCTTATTTCAAGAGCTCAGGTAGAGCATCATAATTTGTCTGTGGTTCATCCTGTACAGAGTCTACTTTCTCTAGCTTAAGCTGCACTAGGCAAACAAGCTAAAACTGCTAAAGTGCAATTCAGGTCACTGACACCACCTGAACTGCCAAGATTGGGAAATACTTCTTTATAAGAATATAATGCAGTGTTTCTCAACTTTGGCACATCCCACAATTCCCCAGCCAGCATGTTCATGGCTGAGAATTCCGGGAATTGAAGAACACATGTGTGCAAGTTGTCAGGCTAATATATTGGCAACACTGACAGAGCTTCCAGGAGCACTTCTCATCTGCACAGCTGGCACTTTTAGGGACTGCATGTCTATCAGTGACCTATTGTGCATCATTGTCCAAAGTGTTAGGTTTCTGGTTCTCCATCATGTCTACCTTGCCTGAATTACAGTTCAATTTGTTCATCCTCATCTACTGCAAAGCAACTACCAGACACATAAGCAGAATTTCTACTGCCTTCTTTGGCATTAGAAGAATACCCCCTCACTGATGCTTCTTTGTGCCAACCCTCCAGATGGTTTCACCTGTGCTTCAATGTTGTCATTGTTCAAAATCATGAGCGACAAACTGGATCATTAAGGTACTGCAAAACTCAAGAGAAGGAACAAAATGTCCCCAGTGATACTTCCAGCTATCTTTTTTTTTCAAATAATTTTATTAGATTTTAAGATAAGAAAAAACTAACAAAAACTAATATTAAAGATAGAGAGGAAAGAAGGAAGGAAAGAATGAAAAAGAAGAGAACAAAGTCAAAAGTGCAGAAAGAAAGAAAAAAAGAAAGAGAAATACAAAAAAGAATGACTTCTGAATTTCCTCACAACAGACATAAATTTACACTAAACTCTTATTCTAAGTTTACATCATAACTTTCCTTTTTTCCAATTGTCCACTGTTGTTTCTAGTCATCAAATCCATACATCATAATTTTATTTTTTTCAGTTTCGTGTGAAAAGTCCAAAAAAGGCTTCCTGTTAGCATTAAAATTACTCAATGTCTTTTCTCTAATCAAGGCTGTCAGTTGCACCATCTCAGCCAACTCCATCAACGTCGCCATCCCTTCTTCCATTGTACTTTCAGCTGTCTCTTAATAGAATCAGAACCATTGCAGTTTGCAACATTGTTCCCCAGACCCATCCCAGAGCAGCTGACTGTCAAACATGCTGTTAAAATTGTACGCGCAACAGCTGTGGAAAATAACAACCAGATCAGTAGTTAAATGCAAGTCCGGGGACTTGCAAGTGGGGCCTCAAATGTCAAAACAGTCCCTTGTTCGTGCAAAATGGCTGTGAACAATAAACAGTTCTCCTGCAGCTTTGCTGGATGTATGCAGTTTATAGACGTCATAATAATAAACTGTTTCTTGGAACTGAATTTGGAAGACAAAGCCCTTTTCTTCATTATTTTTTTCCTTGAGAGTCAGATACTGTTGGTTTTTGGTGGTTTTTTTTTTTTTTTTATAATGACTGATGAATAAACTGGGCTAGAGTTTAGAAAACTGCAACTGAAAAAACAGAGTTGTTCAAAATCCCACTCAGAGTTGTTCCTGGAGCAAAGCTGATCCTTCTAGGAAGAATGGTCATCATGAGCATTTTATCGTTTGTAACATCAACTTGGAAGCGACAAGGTCACAAGTTAACTGGCTGCAAGGAGGTTGTATGATAATAATTGCAACTTCCACAAACCTCGAATTTTGTAGGAGGGGGAAAGATTGTGATTGTCTCTGCCATTTAAATTTTACAATGCTTCTGGGCGCACTTGGGGAGCTCTTGCGGACAGCAAATGCTTTACAGAGAAACAAAAATGTTATATATCATAAACAATAAAGGCACAAATATCCAAGAGGTTAGATGCATTGAACAGGAGAAGAAACTTTATCAACTTACTTGCTGATGAGTCGTTTTATAAATATAAGATCCAGAGTGCAGAAATGTGGAAGAAAGACGCCCCATTTTCATCTGCTATATGCAGCTATTGTAATTTTAAAATAAAACAGAACAAAAGGCTACTGACCTTGCTTCTTGTCTGGAAAGACAAATCTCCCGCGTGGAGGATTTCTAGCATAGCAAAATGCCTGGATATTAAGGAGGTGAACCCAAAAGGAAAAGTTTGCAATCCAGTTTCTCTGGATACATGACATGTTTTAGATGCAGGAAATTGAAACGGCCCTTTCTTTATTTAAAAGTGCCCAAGTAGTTGTGGGGGGAGGGAAAAAAAACAGTCACATTGCATGGCCAAGGACGGTGAAAATTAATGCTCAAAGAAAAAAGGGAGGGAGAGAAAAAGAAAGTGTTCTTAAAGAGGAAGGACAGAGACGCTCTTTCTGGCGGGGGGAGCGAGTCTTGGTGTCTGATTTCGGGGGAGAAGGAGGGTCTAGCAGGCAGCTCAGAGGGAGTCCCTTTTCACACACATATGGCAGAATGCAGTGGTGCTGGAGCAAAAAAGCAAACACACACACACACACACACACCCCTCTCATCTGATCTTCTAGGGCAGGGTTCCTCAACCTTGGCAACTTTACAATGGGTGGACTTCAACTCCCAGAATTCCCCAGCCAGCAAGGGGAATCCCCCAAGGCTGGCTGGGGAATTCTGGGAGTTGAAGTCCACCGGTCTTAAAATTGCCAAGGTTGAGAAACACTGTCTTAGAGGGAGCATCTGTTAAGGATTCCCTCTTAAACATCCTGTTGAAACCCACTGGTAAACTTCTGTTTGTTTGAATTCAATTGTTCAGTGAAGGAATACTCTATCCATCACTCCTAGATCTTCAATGGGAGATACTTTGCAGATCCTACCACAGATATATTTATCATCAATAGTTAACCATGGTGGGCCCTAAACCATGGAATAATCAAAGCTGAGGCTTGCCCTCTTCCTTGTTACAGTGAAGGAGGAAATTTAAAATATATACTTTTACAACTGGTGGGGTTTAAATGGCTTTAACTGTTAGATGGAACATTAGATTACATTTTAGGACGTTAGCATCGGAAAGAAATCTTACCCAGTTTGTTTCCGAGCCGGGAATAAAAATTGTGCAGGCAGTAGCTTGAAACAGAGATGAAATGTATTTCTGAGAGCAACCTACTGTCAGCTGTCAGGGCGGCCACAGTGATTCTTCCCCCTTAAGTCCTTTATACAGAAAAACCTTGCTATTGTTCCTCAAAATCAGGAATTCCAAGAAAATGCACTTAGCCGGCATTCCGAGAAGGAGCCCTCTGTAGTTAGGCGCCCCGCTGCGTTGTGGTCTTCCATTTGTTTAGTATTTGTTGATTGAGATGGTAATCTCCTAAGAGAAAGGATCCCTCCTTATCTGATCCAAGAGGTCTCCTGTTAGACCTCAGCTAGGAATGCTATTAGCTTGGCGTCTCTTGTTCCATTTTAATCTATGTATTTGGCCCATTCTAATTGTAGTTTCTCACCTTTTGCTTGGGGGGGGGG